TGACAGTCACTTTGATGGGCCCAGGATTGTATCTGAAAGCAGAGGAGAAAATTGGACTCTGGGATGCTGTAATTGAACCGAGCGCCTTCAGCCCCAATAATAACACTTTGACAAGTGCTGCTGCCATAAACTCGAGACATGGGAGCAGAGCACGGGGTTGTGTCCTGTCACTTCTTATCCAGAAGGATTATACGGATTACAAAACTGAACTCTTTTCCTTGGATTCCTTCTTGAAGACCAAGCCAGACTTTTCCTCATGCCCCAAAAATGCTTTCTCTCGCCATCCCTCCAGAAAATGTCGCTTGTTACAGCTGCATAAAACTTATGTAGCCGACAAGGATCTTGTTTTTTCAGTGAAAACATGCAATTTGAGCTGTAGGGAGGAGCTGCTACTAAAACAGCATTTCAAGGTGATCTCACAATTCAAAGCATCTATGAAATTGTAACTTCCATGAGGGCGCACAGAACCGCCTGTGCTCCGTGGGGGTGTGTCCCTTTGGAATGGGCTGCCCGGGAAGGCAGGGGAGTCGCCATCCCTGGAGGCGTTTGAGGCGTGACTGGATGTGGCGCTGAGTGCCATGGTGGCGTTGGGTCGTGGGTTGGATCCCTGTGACCTTAGAGCTCTTCTCCAGCCTAACCTATCCTGTGATTCTTATCCAAAAAATTCTTAACCCAGAACAGTGGGAAACAGCAAGAAAACCAGGAACTCCGGTTCTTTTGTTGCTGGCACTGGGTGACACTGAGTTGACATGGTGGTGTTGGGTCATGGGCTGGACTCCTGTGACTTTAGAGCTCTTTTCCAGCCTAACCTATCCTGTGATTCTTATCAAAGAAATTCTTAACCCACACCAGTGAGAAACGGCAATAAATAATGAAATCTGTTTCTTTTGTTGCTGGCACCGGGTGACACTGAATTAACACAGGGGTGTTGGGTCATGGGCTGGACTCCTATGATCTTAGAGGTCTTTTTCAACCTGATCCCATAATTCTTATCCAAAAAAAAAAACCCCACCAGTGGGAAACAGCAAGAAAACCGGGAACTCTGGTTCGTTGCTGGCACTGGGTGACACTGAGTTGACACGGTGGTGTTGGGTCATGGGCTGGACTCCTATGATTTTAGAGCTCTTTTCCAGCCTAACCTATCCTGTGATTCTTATCCAAAAAAATTCTTAACCCAGAACAGTGGGAAACAGCAAGAAAACCAGGAACTCTGGTTCGTTGCTGGCACTGGGTGACACTGAGTTGACACGGTGGTGTTGGGTCATGGGCTGGACCCCTGTGACTTTAGAGGTCTTCTCCAGCCTAAGTGATCCCATGATTCTTATCCCCAAAAAACCATCAACAGGAAACAGCAAGGCCACCATGAGCTCCAGTTCTTTTGTTGCTGGCACCGGGTGACACTGAATTAACACAGGGGTGTTGGCTCATGGGCTGGACTCCTGTGACTTTAGAGGTCTTCTCCAGCCTAACCAATCCTGTGATTCTTATCCAAAAAACTCTTAACCCACAACAGTGGGAAACAGCAAGAAAACCAGGAACTCTGGTTCTTTTGTTGCTGGCACTGGGTGACACTGGGTTGACACAGTGGTGTTGGCTCATGGGCTGGACTCCTGTGATTTTAGAGCTCTTTTCCAGCCTAACCTATCCTGTGATTCTTATCCAAAAAAATTCTTAACCCAGAACAGTGGGAAACAGCAAGAAAACCAGGAATTCTGTTTCATTGCTGGTACTGGGTGACACTGAGTTGACATGGTGGTGTTGGCTCATGGGCTGGACTCCTATGATTTTAGAGCTCTTTTCCAGCCTAACCAATCCTGTGATTCTTATCCCAAAAAAAACCACCAGTGGGAAACAGCAAGGCCACCAGGAGCTCCGGTCCCTTTTCCCGCCGGAGAAGCCGCCTCTCCCCCATCCTACCGGGCGCACCTCCTCCCGCGGCGCTCGGAGGAGGAGAGACACAAAAGAGCCCCACAACCCCTCCCGGTGCGTCCCGGGGCATCACCCACCCCACTCCCCCGGGGCAGCCCTGTGTGTGTCTGTGCATTCTCCGAGCCCTCATCCCCCTCATCATCCCCCCCACAACTCCCTCAGGGCCCATCTCCATGACAACCGCCCCGCCGTGGCGGGCGGGCGGTGCCCGCTGTGGTGGTGGTGGCGGCGGCGGAAAGGGCGGGCGCGGCGGCGGCGGAAGCGGGGCCGAGCCCTCAGGGTGTGTGAGAGTGTGTGAGACAGAGAGAGGAGGGAGAGAGAAAGGAGCGTGTTGTCCGTGCGAGCGGCCGTTCGCCCTCCCCGTGCGATCGCCGCCAAGGTGAGGGGGCTGAGGGGCGGGGGGTTGGTGAGGGTTGGGGGAGGTCGGGGATGGTCGGCGAGGCGCGCCCGCCGCGGCCTGCGGCTGCCGGGGCGAAGGGGGAAGGAGCGGGCCGGTCGGCCCGCTCCTTTCCCTCGCCAGCAGCTGCAGAGCCTGTGGTCGCTTCTCCCTCCTCCTCCTACCCCCGGGTCGGTGTGCCCGTCGCTGCCGGGCCCTCGCCGCCGCCCCGCCCCGGTGAGTCACTCGGGGCCCCCGGGGGCGCGGCCGGCGCTCACCTGGGCAGGGCCGCGTTCTTCCCTCACAGGGGCTGCTGGGCAGTGTTTTCCCCCACCCCGAGCTGGATGGAGGTAGGTAAAAAATTTTAAAAAAATCATCGTTTCCCCTTCACCCCGGCGAGTGGTGGTGAAGTGACGGCGGTTTTATGTCGGCCTCTCCCCCCCCCCCAGGGTGAATTGGCTGCCTTCAGGTGTATTTCTCAGTTAAAATGCCTTTTTTTCTCCTCCCCTGGGGGGGGGGGGGAAAGCAAAAAAAAAAAAAACATCATGGGTTAAAAAAAAAAACACACACTAAAATTCCTGTTGGGAGGCTTTGAGAACGTTGTTAAGGTCTGGTAACTTCAGCGGCGGGAGGAGGGGATATTTGTGTCGCTGCAGGACGCCTCAAAGTCAGAAATTTGAGTGCTTTTTTTTTTTTTTTAATGAAAAGAGGGCTTACTCTTGTTTCAGAGCTGTGTTCTGGTCTGGAAAAGACAGCAAGAACGCGAGTGCCTCTTTCTCCCTTCGTATCGAAGGGCCGCGAAAATATCCCCAGCATGATATTTTGTTTATTAAATCGGTACCAATAAAGTGATAGACTCCTTGCACAGATGGGCCTGGTGCAGTTTTCTCAACCTCATTATGTCAGTACCGCATGTTCTGATCTCTGCTATTTTGATGTTGAGCCTTTTTATTTTTTCCTGAGCAGGCCTGTGCCAGTATGCAGCGTTTTGTGCTGCATGTGAATAAACTCAGATGAGGAGGAGTTGAGTAAATAATTATTTGGTTAATGAGGTAAAGGCTCGTACTCTGATCCGTGTGGTATCCTAAAACCAGCAGTGTGTCTGTTATATGCCACACTTCTTGCCCCACCCTGTAATATAAATACTGACAGTTTATTATTAACAGAAGTGATTTACCTGTGATATGAATACATTCGTTTGGCATGAACTTTATGCCTGGGGGGAGATTTTTCGGGCTAACTCACTATTTCCACCTGGACCCTCGCCAGAAACAGTTCTGCTAGTTTGAACAAAAAGGTGTTACCACGTGAGTGTGTTGTGCTGTGGAAGTGCCAGCGTGTCTCCACCTGAGTGAGGGCCGTGGGCAGGGAGCAGAGCTGGGCTTTTCAGCCTGGCATTGGGAAGAACAAGGCTCCTGTCACTAAACTGAAGGTGTCTGTACAGTATCAGTGTTCCCACGTTATTGGGACTGGTCACAGACATTTTGTAATTCTCTGTGGAGATGGAAAACCATTGGTTTTCATTTTATTCAAAAATTATGTTGGTCAGATTTAGAAAGCAACAGGTAATGATGGCAGGTGACCAGGGCAGGTTGAGGCATGGTTTTATAGAGTGTTAATTTTATCTGAGCATTTGCATAAGGGTGTCAGGTGAAGGCCAGGGTAGATGCAGGGGAGGCCAAAGTAACGTGCTGCACGAGGCCAGCAAGAATATCACGACTGGGAAAATTATTTTCTTTTTTCCCTCATTATGTTTGCAGGATATTATACTGATCTTGTTATACCCAAGCTTCTGACAGCTGTGTAAGATTTTACTGTTCAGATCTTACCAGACCCACTCATCTTCTAGTCAGTTATTTAGCAATGCACGGTTAACCATTGAGGGAACCAAGTAGAGAAACACAAGTAATGACATCAAATGCCCAGTACTGCAGTAAAGCAAGGGAGGTTTCTTGCACTGCACGGAAGGAGTTGATTGATTTCCTGTAGAGAATAAATGTTGGGGGCAATGCCATCCCCATCGTGCAGATACTTGTGTCAGCATGTGTGTACCTGAGTTATGGAGAAAGAGTTTCCATTTGTGTTAGAAACAGTGTCTGCAAAGCTCTCACTCTCTGTAGTTGTAGAACTCCAATTTGAAATCCCGCTCACCTCACATGAATGTTTAATTTCGGAATAAATTGCCCATCCAGAGATCAAATCCAGGTACGTTTACCTATTGTTGGAAGCGTGAGCTGCAAGTTCTGTACCAGTCTGCTGCTTTTCCTGTTAGAATTTGAAAGGAGCTTGTGCCTGGGAAGGATTGCCACCCGTGTCACCAAATCTGGCTCCACATTCCCTTCTCACAGTGGAACATGCGGGTCTGTTAACCAGTGGGGACCAGCATGTCAAACCAGTGCCCACCCTGATTTCTCACCAGTATTTTACAAATGGGAGGGGTTTGTCTGATGGAGTCTCGTTCTTGCTATAGTTCTTGCTATAGAGAGGAAAACAGCGCCCAAAAATCGATGGTTTAATTAGCATGAGAAGAGCAGGTCATCAGGAGCAGCAGACTTCAGACCAAGGGAAGCTTATTAGTATTGTCCTGTCAGTTCACTGTCAGTTCAATACGTTATATAAGGCAGGGTTTTTTTTTTTCAGTGCCAGTTTTCATTTCATTTCTGCAGACTTGAAACACGGTTAGTTCTGATCCGTTCTGGCTTTGTCCTGAACAGCCCATCGGAATGGGAAACAATAAAGGCTACAGAGCAGATGGTAAGGTGTAGCTCTCAAGATCCTGCAGCCTTCTGAAGAGCAGTAGCTGGATGTTTTACTCCTCAGCTGTTACTGGGATGTGAACATCCATTTCTGGGTGTCTGGATGGTCACACCATTCCCTTCTCCCTGCATCTTCCACTGAAAGATGCAGGCAGCTACAAACTAATGAGTTTTACGGGTTCTGACCTTTACCTTTGATGCTCTGTGATATATTTCAGTCTTCTCTACTCGGGTGTAAAGCTTTTCTGGGGTGGGAGTGAATACTTGTAACTTCTCGTGCCTGCATACACGCTCTTCTGTGTTTGCAAGAGAGATTGAAAGAGCTCCAGGCTGTATGGGAGACAGAGAAAAATAATAACAAAAAAATTACATTTGAAGTGTGGGACTTAGTGTGATTCAAATTTCTGGCAGGTGGTACTACTGGCTGTGGCATTCCTTGCTGTGAACAGTGGCCAACCACTTCTTCTTGGAGGGCTACTAAGCTGTGGTTTTAACAGATTCTTAAGAAGACAGTGTCTTAAGAATTTGAACTGTGTTAATGCATCTAATATCAGAATCTTCTGCTTAGAACAGGCAACTTTCAGGACTCCTCCATGGCTGTGATCTGCACGTCCCTGCACCTTTTCCCACCTTCCCTTTTTCCCCCTTGCCGCCATGGCATGGCTTCACTAGTGCTAGAATAGATCATTCCTGTCAGCCTCCCGTTCATCACCTCTGTGTGTTTTGCTCCTAGCTGCAGGTAACCTTTGGTAGATGGCTTCTGTGTGTGGCCTAGGAGTATTTTTAGCTCTAGGCTTTGCTTGTCTCAGACTGTGGCACACTGATCCATTGTTAGAGCGTGGCTTTCATCTCCTCTCTGGGAGGGACCAGTTATGACTGATAGTTGCTTCTTTGCCTTTTCAAACATCACTCCTTTCCTTGTATCTTTTTTCCTTCTGGCAAACACTTCCCTCTTTTGGAGCTCAAGCCAGCATAGCTCTGCAAAGCTCTCTCCAAGCTTCTAACAAGGTAAGCAATGGAGAATCAAATGAGGATTTTAAGTGTTTCTTTATGCAGCACCCTGGGGAGGAAATAATGGTAGGCTTACTGTCAATGGCAGATATTTTGGTGTGGGCAATGCTTTCCTTACTGCATTTCAGTTCTGTGAAATCCATATTATTAAGTAATACTTTGTGTTTCATAGCAAACCTGCTAACAGTACAGATATGAAGATGAATTAATTAAACTCAACTCCTTGTATACTGAATTCTGATGTCAAAACTAAGCCAGTGAGGTTCTGAGGAGCTCCATCTTCAGTGATTGGTTTGAGTTACATTTAAGATGTGCATAAATTGGATGCATTGCTGAGGAACGTTGCTTCATGAGAAACAACATTCTAATCTTTGTGCTGGTATTTCACTTGTGTAATTGATATGTTAAACTGGTTGCTGAATCTCTTTTATCCACTAGGTCTTTGTGCCCCTGCAGTTCCCTCTGTGATTTCCTTCATGTGTCCTTGTATGAACCCATTGACTGCTGTGAACTGTCTTGCATCTAAATATAAATATGTCAGTGAGCTTGATAAAACAAACTCTGCACCCTTTCAAAACTAAACTCTGTGTTGTTTGTGAATGGAATTCTGCACAGATGACTTGTCTACAGATTAGACCACTATTGGCAAAGTGCAGATCAAAGATAAAACTGACTTCTCAATGGCAAAATGTAAACTCTGTTGGAGCTACTTGCCTCTGGACTTCAATAAGCAGGCTGCTTCCACATAATAATAACATTCCATAAGAAGAAGAGGAGAAGATAAGATGCTTGCAATAGAAATACTTCTAGAAGCTGTGCAGACAGTGAGGAAAGTAGAACTGCTCTGAAACTGTTTTGTTTAAATGTCCAGTTGTTTAAAGTTGGCTCTTGCAATGTAAAACACATTCTTCAGGTGTACTTTGCTCTTGTTGAGGTGTTACTGAGTGGGTAGAGAAATGCCACTCACAAACTGCTTCCTGCCTTGAGCACCCAGCCTGCAATTACTGCTGAGGTAAGGGAATGGTTTATGAGGTTCAATAGACTCAGCAGGGAAAAGTGGGATGGGTTCTCTCAGTGGGAAGGGGTCTGAGGATTCCTTGGGCTTGTTGTGCATTGTTCCTGTGATAGGCTCCAGAGCAGAGAGAAGAAATGCACCTCACAAATCCCACTTTCCCCCTTACAGTCAGGAGCTATCCTTTTGATAAGCCCATGAAAGCCAGGGATAGTAGAGCATATCCCCATGGCAAAAGCTTTTTGGGGAAGAGAGAACCAAATTAACCTCCAGAACTTGTCACACTGCTACCCAAAGTCACTCTGGCTTGTTGAGGGCTTCCATCTGAAGTGTGTGTGTCACCTTTCAATAGATCCCAGGTTCCACGAGTTTAAACACAGTATTTGCAGTGGGACTGAACTGCAGCCCAGTCTGCAAAAGGTCCCTTTCCAGGAGACTGCTTTTAGCATTCCATGTGCTTGCTTTGAGTGCCTTGTGTGGATGGATGTGTTAGGATCTACAAAGGATCAAAGGCAAGCAGGAGTGAGTTAGACTTGCAGATACGGAGCAGGTACATTTGGTTGCTGGATTTACTTCAGGAGCTTTCATGTGAAATAAGTGTTTGACTTGATATCTTGGGTGATTATTTTTTTTTTTGTTAAAGTGGAGTATCTTCAGCTGGAGGGGTAGAATGTGCTCATCTCAAAATAATTTTGTAGTTAGGGCTCGTCCTTGGCAGTACGAGCAGTGTATGAAACTGCTCAAACACACAGGGGGAATTTGGGTCTGCATCTCATTGTCCTGGTTCAGGATTTAGTACAGGGGACTGGTTTTCCTGTGTAAGAGTGTGGTAGGTGATACTTGGAGTAAAATACAAGCTGAGCAGTGTGTGCAAAATGTTCTCCATCAGAAGCCTGTCAGACTGGAATCTTTGAAGGTGAGAGCCAGGGAAAAGGCTGCAGCAATCACTTTCAGCTTGTTGGTTCTTTCTAATAGGGCTGTAGATGCTTCTCTAATGAACAGAAGCCTTTGAAGGCAATTGTAAAGTTACTGTTCTTGTCTGCCCTTTATTTTTCTTTTAGAAGTTTTTTTTTTAGGCTGTTTGGTCTCAGCCTGAAAACTTACCTGGGCAGTGAAAGTCCTGACTAGGATTTAGAGAGTAGCAGAAGGTAATTATTGCTCTGTAGTAGTGACGAGAATAACAGTTCTGGGTCTGTCCAAAAGTGAATTTGCAAACCTGCAGAATTCTACAGATGAATTCAGGGTATGTTGGGGTTTGTGAAGTATTGAGGTCTGCTTTGCTTTGATAAAGGCAGAGGAAGTTGTTTAATTTCTCCTGGGAGCCAGGTCCTGGGTGGCATGGTGAGTGTGGGGTTGGTAGCTCAGTGGCTGAGTTAACTGCATGTTAGATGGTGGTGGAGCAGTAAGCACCACTCCAGCTGCCTCACCAGCACCCTTCCTTACTCGCTTCATCTCTCATTGCTTAAGCTCTGCGGTGGCCTCGTGGTCCTGTGGGGTGTTTTTCTTGGCTCCAGTTGCTGAACTGCACTATCAGAAATGATAAATTGTTTCCGTGTAAGCAGTTTGTTTTGCAGTAGTGACCACCCTGTGGGCCACGTCCCATTCAGATTTTCTGAACGTCAGTGTTACTTAAAAGGTCTTGAAAACCTGAGGCTGCAGCCCTGTAGCTGTGTAGAATGATCCATGATGTGTACATTGATGCATGTGTAAAAAAACCCCGTATTTTCTGGCTTTCCACAGTTGCCAACAACTACAGCTTTACTGGGTATGGTTTATGTAAACCCCCAGAAACACCTCCTGCAGCTTGCCAAAGCTCCTCAGTGTCAGGAGGAGCTGTCCAGTGCTTCTAAGTAGTTGTTTAGCAGGGAAGGGAAACAAAATCCAAAATCTGGTTGTTTCTGGGTCAGAATAGGTGATTAGTGTCTCCCGAGTTGAGCTGTGGCCAGTATAGGAAAGGGGAAAGATTCACATAGGGCTGTGCTTAATGCCAGTATGACTTCTGCTGCATTCATGAAGAATGATGCTTTCATATCTTCAGGATTGTGATTAGTCATTTACACATAGAAATTATACATGCTTGGCAAAAGGTCCATAATTTTTTAACAGGAAACCCTCTATATTACTCTGTTAGAATTTCTAGATTTCCCTCTTTATCAGTGACTGTAAGATCTGCTTCACCCTTCAGCGTGAACTTCCACAGTGTGGACAACCAGGAGACGTTTTCTCTCTCTTTTTGTCCCCCACCAATTGCAGGAGAGCCATGGATAAAAGTGAGTTGGTACAGAAGGCCAAACTGGCCGAGCAGGCCGAGCGTTACGATGACATGGCTGCTGCTATGAAGGCTGTCACCGAGCAGGGACATGAACTGTCCAACGAGGAGAGGAACCTCCTCTCCGTGGCCTACAAGAACGTGGTCGGTGCCCGGCGCTCGTCCTGGCGTGTGATTTCCAGCATCGAACAGAAAACAGAGAGGAACGAGAAGAAACAGCAGATGGGAAGAGAATATCGTGAGAAAATCGAGGCTGAATTGCAGGATATCTGCAATGATGTTCTGGTAATAATCCAACAGCAAAAATAACAGTAGTTAGTACTGCAGCATTTCTCAGAGAGGCTTAAGGAATCTTAGTAGTGCTGTAGACACTGCAGCACCTTAGCAGGGGAATAATTTTGCATAGCTACGTACTTGGATCCAATTCCAGCATCTCAGTCATCTAGCTTGTTTCTTGGGGAATTTGCTATAAAAGAGCTTTTTTTTTTTTTAGCAGAAAAAAGCAAACAAGGCCACACTGAAGACCCCTGGCTGCTGGCTGGGGGATGGTCCTGCTAAAAGGCTGACCATTTAAATTCTTCTGCTAATGAGTGCTGACATCCTGAGGCTTGTTTAGTTCCTTTTTGGAGTAGAGGAGGTCTGTACATCTTCCCCCACACTGGTTTTGGTCTTCCTTTTATTGCCGTTCAGGTTGTGTAAGATCAGTCAGGAGCAGTTGCTGTCAGTGCAGTCAGTCTGTACATCTCTTTCTGAGTTCACCTGTGCTGACTGTGCCACTGTTGAGCTCTTCGGCTGGAGCTGCAGATAGAGTCCATTTCCTGTGTGAAAATTTCACAGATCTGCATGGAATTCAGGTCTGTGGCAGCAGAGGTGGCCAGATGTGCTGATGTCCAGCTTTGTTAGTTTGGTTGTGGACGTAGGTTTGCATCAGTGTGTTTCAAGGAAAATCTTTGCAGCTGTAAACCCTGATAGTCATTAAATTCTGCAGGAGGGAATGGTGGGTGGCCTCAACAGAGCAAGTTTTCAGCTGTACAGAGATTCTCTTTTTTTTTATTATTTTTAAAGTTTAGACAACAGTAGGCACGACGAGTCTGTGTAAGTCGTGACACAAGTCACTGTGAATGTTTGAACAGTTCATGCTCACTGTTGTAACCAAGGCTCTGTTTCAGACATTATTTTTACAGCTTGCATTTAAAAAGAGGTGATGTTTCCTTTCTCAGGAACTCCTGGATAAATACCTTATTGTCAATGCCACGCAGCCAGAAAGCAAGGTCTTCTATTTGAAAATGAAAGGTGATTACTACAGATACCTCTCAGAGGTGGCGTCTGGGGACAATAAGCAAAGTAAGTAGAAATGAAGTCTCTCATTCTGGGGCCAGGCAGAATCAAGGGTAAAAAGTACTTGTGTTCTTTTCCCCTAAGGTGGAGTGTTTATTTGTTTTTACTACTGCTCTGTAGTATTCAAGATGGGTGCAGTGCAAGTCCCTTCTAGAGAAAGACTTCACTGAAATTAGTAGAAGTTACTGACAGATGTTCATCAATCCAGTCGAATTCTGCTTGCAGCCCCTGACCACAGGAGCTGATTTTCAAGCATATTTGGCAGTATAAAATCCTTTTCCTGGAAAATGGTTTTGTTTTGTTTTTTCTCATGGAAAAATCCCTTGACCTCTTGTTTAAGCTATGAATTTAGCTCAAGTCTTCACTGTTTGCAATATTTCTGCATGCAAATACGGGTTATTGGGTTCCTGGGTCCTAAACCAGTTAATTCTGAAATGGTAAAGCAATGCTGGACTCTGCCTGAACTCCTGTGATTGTCTGATGGAGTCCATGTCTTGCAAACTTAGTTTCATGCCAACATGGAACTTATTGTTACTCATTAGCCAGGAAGGGACTGTTGGTTCTCCTCTGAAACCCCAACCTGAAAATACAAAGTTCATGACCTAGAGCTGCAGTAGTTTGGATACCTCTTCTTCCTCGTGTGGTTTGTCTGGATTTATTATTGATAATTGTGGCTTCTTCAGCTGGGCTGGGAGTGAGTGTTTAACACCAGAACACTTTGACTTGGGTAGAGTTTGTGTCCATCCAGATTGGTCGGAATTTATATTGAATGAATGTCATTTTAAGTCTCTGTTGAACTGCTCAGCTTAATTTCTCTGTGTCAGAGCTTTAGCTGAGCGCATATTTCTACCTTCACAATTCTGCCAGTGGAAGGCTTTTACATCTGCAAACACTGAAAGAAGTGTGTGCATGTGTAACTGCACGAATCTCTGCTGGCACAGAGAAGAGAATCACTTTCCCCATGAAGTACAGAGATGTGCTGTGCATTAATATGGTTGTAATTACTTCTTGCAGCAACGGTAGCAAACTCTCAGCAAGCTTACCAGGAGGCATTTGAAATTAGCAAGAAAGAGATGCAGCCAACACACCCCATTCGACTCGGTTTGGCTTTAAATTTCTCTGTGTTCTACTATGAGATACTAAATTCTCCTGAAAAAGCCTGTAATCTGGCAAAGACGGTAAGCAGACTCTCCATATCACCAGTGTTCGTGGAGGCTGAGCTCATAATTACGTGGTTGCAGTAGCACTTTGTAAATGATTATGCTTTTTTTCATATCAAATTGCTTAAAAATGCTATCATTAAACTGCTGTCGTTGTCGTATGTTTTCAGGTAAGTTGGTTTGCTGGTCTGGCTCAGCTTTAGGTAAAGCTAATTTGCTTCTGCAGCTGTTCCAGTGACAGGGAAGACAAAGTGCCTCTTCTTAATGCCCACCTAATTCTCTTAGAATGTGTTTGTTTGAAAACACTTGAATTAATTTAGCATTTCTGAAGTGAAATAGTTATTTGAATTTGAACACTTCTTAGCAAATGCACATGAAGTGTTGTCTGTGCGTCCGTCTTTGTAACCCTGAATGTCCTTGTGTGTCCCTGTGCTTGTGTGCCCCTCTCTTCAGAGACCAAAATAAGCTTGTGTGGTGGGTTGTGCCAAACAAATAGTGAGTCATTTTTTTCTTGGCCTTTTCTCTAAAACAGGATTAGAACACCTTCCAAGTGGAGCTTTTTGTGCCTGTGAAAATTGTCTGGTAGTAACTTGAATAGCATGGCATTAGGTGAATCTTTGTGTTCTTAATACACACTTCAGTAAGACTTTGTAACAAGAAGGCATGTCTTGCTGTAAAATGCTGCTGCTGTTCCTGCTCTTTTTTTATAGTTAAAATTCTTACATATGTTTGAAACCTGAAAGAAGAAATAGCACTTATTCATGGCTCTCAAACTTGCAGCATTGATTTTCAAGAGTCACAGATGGATGGGAAGAATGGCTTTGTTAATCTCTGGTGGAACACACCTGATTTTCTCTGCTGTTTTGAAAAGAAACTGAAAACCTTCCACCCCACTGTCAAAAATCCCTGTCTTCCATTGTCTTGCCAAGTTACCCATGTACAGTATATATATATCTGTAAGTGTAATGGTAACTTTATCTTTCACTGCCAGTTTAGACCAGTGAGACCTTCCTTTTTAATGGAAGTGCTGCTTTTAGGTGTTGTTCTTGTTGTACCTGACTTCAAGCTATGTGAATCATTTTTCAGTGAGACACAGAGTGCTCTTGCCTCTTCAGTATTTGGTGTGGAATGGCAGTGAAGGTTTTCTGGGCTTTAATCTGGACACCCCTGAAGATTTCTGTTTTCCCATGCCTGTCTGGTGCTCAGTTTGGTTTACATTTCTTCTTGTAGTGGAAAAAAAAATACTGGAAGCTTTTGTCACAGAATTGGAATAGTAACGTGGCAGATTTGTAAGCATTTCAGAGAGCAGAGTGTGAAAGTGCTGTCTTGCATGTTTGCAGGCGTTTGATGAAGCGATAGCAGAGCTGGACACGCTGAATGAAGAGTCTTACAAAGACAGCACTCTGATCATGCAGCTGCTTAGGGACAACCTCACTGTAAGTACCGTGGGGCAAACCAAACGACTCCCTGCTCCACTGCGCTGCTGCACTCCCTGACGCTGGACTCAGCAGCTCGAAGCTGGAGCAGTCTGTGCCATTACAGGCCTTTTCTGAGCTGGTGGCTGCATGTGTTCACTGCACTGCTTTTTGTAACCAGACCAGCCAGACTTGCTTGTTCAGACCAGAAATCACTTGTTAACCACTGTAACAAACTCAGATATTTTTTTGTAACACAAAGTGAAGCTTGTTCTCAACAGACAGTTTTACGGGTAGGCTGCCAGCTTGTGCTGGTTTCTTCCTTGTTATCTCACTCGTGTTACAGTTTGTTATTCTTTAGCTTTACTGTTTGTTAAGTTCAGTTCTGTATTGCTCTTAGCTGAGAAAGTTGCACAGCTAATTACGCTGTCCTCCCCTTCCTGGCAGCTGGAATTCTCTGGGTGCTTTCAGCACAAACACGTGTTTGTCTTTCCTTACAGCTATGGACGTCGGAAAACCAGGGAGACGAAGGGGACGCTGGGGAGGGAGAGAACTAATGGCTGTCACGCTTCACTCTATGTTCAATGTCACCCTGTATCCTACACATAATCCCTTTGTGCGACGAGCAAAAAGAATAGTACATCGACTTTCACAACCTCAACGTAGCAAAAAACTGTCTGTGGGGTAAAAGCGGTTGGTTGGTGTTCTGTGTACCTAGAGCGGAGGTCGGTTATTCCAGTGGCATTCCGAGCTTTCCCATGATGAACACTTTAACGGCTCCGATTACCGTGTCTGTATTTTTGAACTGAGCACTGTGATAACGGGTTTCGTGATCGCGACTGACCTTGCAAAACTCCCGTTGGTAGGACGGTAGACATCAATTATGTAACTCTGGCAAGCTTAATCTGGCACCAAAAACAGTCGAAGTACAATTCTGTTGTAAAGTTGTACAGAAAGTTATAGAGATTCTATTGTGACACTGGGGCATGGAAGGAACCAATCCGATGTACGGCATTCCAGTTAGGGACACTGCTATGAGGTAGCTGAACAGGCACACTCTGTAGACATTTGTAACCGAGTCTGAGGCACCGCTTTCAGTCAAAAGCTCACTTTGTCAATCCTGTCTTTCTGGGGATGGGGTTTGTTTTGGGGAGGAGGGTAAAGGGGGAGTTAGCAGCTTGATTTCCAAACTCTTTACACTGGCAGATAACTGGGATTTGACTTCTAAAAGTGCTTTCATTCTCATACGACATGCATGACTAAGCCCCTTCCCACAGCAATAACTTACCTAGTTACTACACCTTAGATATTCTTCAGTAGTGAGAATTCTTGGTTCACTGCCATGGACTTGCAATAGGAAAAGATTCAATTTTTTGAATGGCCTTATTAGTTTGGATGATACCATGAAGTGATCTGCCACTTTAGCATTACTTTACTCTTAGGTGAGTCAAAATCTCCATGGTATTCCCACTTGGAATTTATCCTGAAAACCTCTTAAGTAATCCACTGAGCCATCTTTAAGTTCACTTTACAGAAATTTTTCTCCCATTGGACTCTGTTCATCCTTGACCCTCTCACCTGTTTGAACTCCATTAAAGCAATTTTGGACTCCCACACATGCGTCATCCTTTCTTTGGTTGTGGGTGATGTCAGGATGGTGGCTGAGGCCTGAGCCTCACCGAGGACAGGTTTCTTCCTTGGATGTTTGAGAGCTGCCAGTGCTGTTGCAGCCTTCAGCTCCTGCCTGCCATTCCTTGGTAGTACCAGGACCTGGCTCAAATATTCAGGCTTTCCCATCTCGTGCTGGAATGCAGACCTACACATCTGTAACGCTTGTACCTTGTAATATTTGAGCTCCAAACGTCCTCACCTAGCCATGTTTCAAACATGTCCCATCAAATAAAACCTCATGAGAGTTGCGTGAATAATGCAGTGGAAAAGATTAGGAATAGTCACCTGTCAGTCCCGCGGTATCATCCCCTGCCTTCACATTCCACTTAGGTATAGGATCCATCTGTTTGTCCATCTGTCTGCTGAAGAGAATTTCATGCACTGATTTTAAAACTCCCCTCTACTAGCTGAACAAATTGTGCAGTTAATACTTGGCGCTTGATAAATGCAGTAGTGAATGTGGAACCGAGCCTGTCTGTATATCTGGTAGCTCTTTTCGCTTTGTTTTTACTGACCAGTATTCTGCCTAAAGTTTGCTTCTGTGACGGTTATATTGCCTAGCACACACGTGGTTGTGAGAATAGTATAGCAAAAAAAGAAATACCTGGTTATTGATGTACTAGATTTGTGTATGTCTTTTAAACAGTTCTAGTTTCACCTTACACAAAATAATCAGGAAAGTGTAAAAGAATTCAAAAGTGGATAATAAAAAAAAATTTTATCAGTTGGCTGTGTCTGTTGTCTTTGCTGGGGGAGTGGCAAAACCTGTGGTAGTAAAATCACCACTTGGACTAAATTCTCAGTTTGGGGACTGTGTGAGTTGATTCATAGTTTCCAAATACTAAATTACTCATTCCTTTGCTGAGAGGTTTCCCCACACACTCTCCCAGAAAACACTGGTTCTCTTCTTTTTTTGTTAGGTCATACTTGCAATATATTGTCATTGCAGGGCTTAAATGCAACTCTAAATAACTCTTTAACTTGCCATGAGTTATTACATACTGTAGGCTTGAACACACGCTGTAAAAGGAGAAAAGTCTGTTGGTTACATTTAGAGGTTTCTCCTCAGGAATCTTTTCAGTGCCTGCTCCAGTGCAGGGCTGGCCCCACCTCTGCACACCCAGCTCTGCTGGTGTCAGCCTGTGGTGTGCAAAAGCAGCACTGGGAGAGGAAAATAGGTGGAGGAGAATAAGAGCCCTTGGAGGGATGGCTGGCAGTAGCCAGGCAGCCCAAAAGCACTGAGGTGGTTGGTCCCTCCTGCTCCCAGAGCCTCCTGCTCCTGCACTGGGGCAGCACAGGAGCGTGCAGGGTGGAAAATGTTACTGGGCTGCTTTTGATTGACCACTACGAAGGCATTAGGCCAAAATCTAAACAGCTGCTGATGGAGCACTGCTCAGCCCTGTGCCGTGGCTTTGAATGGGGGTCCCTCTATCTGTGATTATTGCTTGTCATTTTCCAGCCTTTATGGACATACCTGCTTTTAAATGATTATACAGTGTACACTAACTGCCAGTCTGACTCGTGCTGATGGCATTGTCAGCTCTGAGAAGAAATATCCTGTGTTCTGCTAGCTGATCCTGTTCATGGACCACTTCTGCCTCAGTCCTTTCACATAACATCTCCCATCCTTACTCTCCCTTTTCAGGAAATCATGAACCAAGGAGCCTGGTCTGCGGCAGTGATGAGTTGAGGGAATATCTCAATTGTTCAATTAATTTTGTTGTTTTGGGAAAGGACGCTCCCACTGGCCCAGCCACAGTAAGATTCCACATGCACTGTACGTGTTTAACTCATCTAATTGCTGTGGCTTCTCATTCCTGGCACTGGTGCTTGTCTGACCTTTGGGTGAGGCAGCTTTGTGTGGTGAACCACCAGGAGGCTTTGGGGAATGTAAGGGTTGTCCTGATTGCCCCACAGCTGACCTTTCAAGGGTCCAGGCTGGGGTGGAGCTGGGAGCTGCTGTCAGGGGCTCAAGGTTCCTGTGTGCTTTCACCCAGTGTTTCAGCAGCACAGTTACATCCATCTCTGTGGGTGAAAGCGACCTGACAGCACTCGTGTGCCACACGGACAAAGGTGATGGCAGAGGCCAGGTCCCTATCCCATACCCCATGGGTCTCTGTTGGGTGCTGAGCGAGCTTGCTGTGGGGTCGGGAGTGTGCGAGTGCCCAGTGATGAAGGGTTTGTACTGAGCAGCGTAAGACTCCTGCCTCGATTCCTTCAGGGAATTACACACCAGAACGTGCATGTGATATCCTAAAGCTGCGTGGGTGGGACACACACGCTGTTAAGCGCTGTCAGCGTTCCAGGGCGACACGCGGCGCAATCCCCGTGCCCTTGGTTTGGGAAGACGCGGGAAGTGCTGGAGCTGCGCCAGCTGCGGTTCGCAAAAACGAGGGGATGCAACCGCTGAACCCCCGAGCCCCTCAGCTCCGCGGGACCGGGGGATGCCCGGGACGCGCCCGCGGTGCCCGCAGCGCTCCGCACCCGGCGGGGCTGGGAGGGCGGGGCGCGGAGGGCGGGGGGTCCCGTCCCGCCCCCGGGGCCGCGGGGAAGAGGCGGGCGGGTCCCACGGCCGCAGCCGGAGCTGCAGCCGAGCGGGTGTGAGTGCGGGACCGGACCCTCCGGGGAGCTGCTCCGGGCCGGGGGGCTCGGGCAGGGCGAGCACTGTGTGTGTGTCTGTCTGTGTGTTTATTTTGGGTATCTGTAGGTTTCTGAACAAGCGTCTCGAGTCTTTTGAGCTTTGAGGTAAGAGCCCCAAGGGTGGGTTCATAAGCTGTTAGGGCAGGAGATGCAATCCTGTGTCCCCAGGCAGTGACTCTCATCTCCGCACACAGCTGAAACCAGGCAGAGACTGAGCATCAGTTTTCCTACTCCAGTGACTTCAGCTGAGAAACTGGGAAGGGCTGGCTAAAAACCCTGTGTTTGCCTGAGGATGATGGAGTCTGGTTGCAGGGAGTGGTGTGGGCTGCAGGTCTGCTCCCTGGGCATGGAAGCAAACCCGCATTCCCTGGGTCTGCTGTGGCTGGAGGGAGCTTAAAGAGTAAAAATTCTCTGGTGGAGAAGGGTGTTTACTTTCTGAGGGATTAAACTCATTTTTATTTCTCTTGGGGTTTGAGTGCTGAGAGGAGCAAGTCTCTGTGTGATGTGGTGTGTTGTGTCCTCTGGCAGCCCCCAGGGTGTGCAAGGGCTGTGATGTGCAGGTCACCCCAGCTTGGCTTTTGCACCAGAACTGAAATGTGCTGAAAAACTTGGTTGGCAACTTCCTTTGGGGATTCTTTTTCCTACCACTGCTGGTGGGAAGGGCAGGACGTGGCTGTGGTTGCTGCAGGTGATCTGAAAGCTGCTCTCTGCAGCCCCGGGTGTGTCTCTCCTTGCAGCTGAGCTCCGTGGGTGACCATGAACGCCAGCGGCCCTGGCTATCCCTTGGCCTCTCTCTACGTGGGAGACCTGCACCCGGACGTGACCGAAGCCATGCTCTACGAGAAGTTCTCCCCCGCTGGGCCCATCATGTCCATCCGAGTGTGCCGCGATGTCGCCACGCGCCGGTCGCTGGGCTACGCCTACATCAACTTCCAGCAGCCCGTGGATGGTCTGTGCCCTGGGACACAGCTCTGAGGAGCGGCCTCGCAGCGGGGCCTTGGGCTGTGCCAGAGGGGCAAGGGTGGGCAGTGCAGGAGGAAGGACCTGAATGGAGGCATGAGCTGTTGGGGCTTGGGCAATGTTCCATTAATTGGAGTTCCGGTTGCAACTAATGGAATGAGTGGGACCCATCCCACTCCAGTTTCTTCTTAGGGACTGGGGAAAGGATGTGTCAGCTGGGCTTTGGGCTTATAGGAGAGGAAGATGACTTCCAAGAGTTACCCCCCTGCATGAGCTGTGGAGATGCCCCTCCCTGGGACAGCCCCCTGCCCTCTGGCTCCCAGTGCTGGGCCCTTTCCTGGCAGGCATTGCCATGATGCTGAGCTGTAAGTGGAAGGTGTTCCATGCTGAAGTGAGGCAGTAGTCATGGGAAGGTGTTTGGTTAGTTGCTCTGGAGATAAAAGTCCTTATTGGGTAAATTAGTTGGGCATCTGCCAAACTGGAGTTTGCAGGGAAATGGATGATCCTGTAGGAGTCAGGCATGCTTTGGAGAGGAAACAACCCAGTTAATTAGGAAGGAGTGGTGTGGCTGGAGGGGAGGGGAGGAGAGCATGGGCTCCTCTGGGAGGCAGAGCTGCCCTTCTCATTTAGGTTAACAAGCCCCTCTCCAACAGTATCCCTGATTCCTGTGGTCACCTCAGCTGCTGCAGGATGTGAAGGGGCTCTGTCTTCCCCTCCTCTCCCCCTGTTCTTTGCCAGCTGAGCGAGCCCTGGACACCATGAACTTCGAGGTGATCAAAGGCCGACCCATCCGCATCATGTGGTCCCAGCGGGACCCGGGGCTCAGGAAGTCGGGGGTTGGAAACATCTTCATCAAGAACCTGGATGACTCCATTGATAACAAAGCCCTGTATGACACATTCTCTGCCTTTGGGAACATCCTGTCATGCAAGGTACACACACCCAGGGGCCCTGCAGGAGAGGGCTTGCTTGCAGAGCTGCCCCTGCTCTCAGCAGCATCTCCAGCCAGCTGGAATTCACTTTCTCGTTTCACTTCCCACAACGTCACCTCTAAATTCCCACCTGCTTTGAAGCCAAAAAGCCTTGCTATGCTTCCCCTTGGAATGGGGGCTTTCCCCCACCCCACCTTCTTCCCAGTGCCTGCACAGAGATGCCCTGTGCCATCCTGTCCAAGTGCATCAGTGGTATGGGGGTCTTGGGGAGCCATAAGCTCCTGGGTATCATTTGTGGATCTGGCCCTGGGATCTCCTGCCTCCCTGACCTGCTGCAAACACCCCAACACAGCTGAGCCTCAGTGGAGCAGGGTGTTGGGGAGGGAAGAAGCCTCTGGAAAATGAGGGTGGGTTTTCCTGTGACTTATTTACGTGCAACCATGGAGAAAAACAGTGTCTGCCTCTTGGGTTTTTTGGTTGCTTTTTTTTTTCCCCTTCCCCCACCCTCCGCATTTGCAGGTGGTTTGTGATGAGAATGGATCCCGTGGCTATGGCTTTGTCCACTTTGAGACTCAGGAGGCAGCGACTCGGGCCATCGACACCATGAACGGGATGTTGCTCAACGACCGCAAGGTGTAAGTGCCGGAGAGGAGAGGCTCTCCTGGGCTTTGCCCTTGGCTCTGCTCCTCCCTTGCCTTGCTGCACCCCTGGGAGCAAAGGCCTGCCCTGCTCGGGTGCCCCCTCCTGCTGCTGGCTGTGTTCTCCCCGTCTCCCATCCCTGCTGGGCTCAGCAGCTCCGCTGCTCTCCGCGAGTGAGTCACCCGTGGTCGATTCTGGTGGAAGTGTGATAGTGGTTTGGAGCCTTTCCCGATGCTGGGGAAGGAGTCCAACCCCAGGCTGGGTTTTATTGCTGAGGCAGTGTAACAAGTGCCCACAAAGCAGGGCTGGTCCTTGATCTCAGCTGTTGGCATCAGATAATCTGGGCAGGAAGGGCTTTTGTTGTTGTTCAGCTCTCTGCTTGCGTTGCAGCACCTCATGCTTTACTTCCCACGCGGGCAAGCGGATGCCCAGAGGGCTTGGGAATAACTTGGAGGAAGAGAGCTGGCACTTGGTGCCATTCTTTGGGGTCTTTTGGCGTGGTGGCATCCTTTGGGATCTTCTGATGTCCCCTGGGATGACATCCCTGCTTTTG